TGGATTACATTTATTATCATTTGATCCTCTCTCTGTTAAAGTTAGTAATCCGTGCATTAACCAAATTAACCGCCTCAGAAGTAAATTTCGGAATGACTTACCTCAATTCAAGAAACATAAAGGAAAGAAGAGAAGATTCAAGTGACTGGTATAATTGATGATGGTGAACCTTGTAGTAAAAATGCCAAGGTGTCTGTAAGTCATGAACGAAGTAATAGTAACAGTACCGTTAGTAGCAATAAACGTAAGAGTACTGATTCACAAAATTCTAATCACCCCAAAAAGAGTAAAGTATGTGACGATAATGCTTTAAATAAGCCTTGCTCCCAAAAAAGAAAAGTTGATGTAGACTGTAGAACTGACAGTACTGCTTTGGTATTGCCTCGCTCAAAAACGATGATAAATTAATTGTTTCAATTAATTTGAAAGACCTAAAAACCAAATTTAATGTCAAAGATGATGATAGTTGTAATAGTCTGATTGTATCTATAAAACTCTCAAGCATTAAATGTAAACCGAAAGATGATAAAACAAAGTGTATCATAAATTTTACAATTAAAGTAGTAGTCTGATAGTATCCTTAAAACTCTCAAGCATTAGATTAAAGACATGTAATCGAAAAAAAGATGATGTAATTATTACTTATGACGAGCCATATAATCCAGGAGGAGACAAAGGGATTTTGTTCATTACCCTGCTAATGAAGAAGTTCAAAGGAGGTGGTGTGAGATATTGAACCTTAAGTTTGTAACAGCTGCTAGAATCTTACCTGGCAGTCCAACAACACCATTGTCAGATGAAAGAGTTCCTAATAGTACTCTTGATGTCCCTGGTGATGGGAACTGTTTATTTTATGCCCTTTCGTATCTCATTACTGGGTCCATTTTTCAGCATTATGAATTTTGTAGAGCAATTGTTTGTATTATGCCAAACATTGAAGAAGAATTGTTTAATAGTACATAAAGTGCAACCAGATCTTCAAGCATATATGAATACATAAGTGAGCCAAACATGTATAGAAATTGTGTGGGCCACTGATACAGAGATTTTTACACTAACAGCATTATTAGGTATAACCATATATTCATAATCACTCACTCCTACTTTTGTTGGCTGAGCTAGATATGGAACCGGGAGTTGTATGGCATTCCTTGTGATACTACTACACCTGCTTTGTATTTGAAGTATGTTGGTACTAATCATTTCCAAGCTGTTAAGTCTATTAATATTTCTTAAGCATTGATTGTTGATGGAAAGTGGGTATGGTGAATGGAAGGTCCATCATCTTTAAAACATTGGTTGTTTTAAGCATTGATTGTTGATGGAAAGTGGGTAATGTGAATTGGAGTTCCATCATCTTTAAAACATTGGTTGTTTAATGTGACTTTTATTTCACTGCATGTACAATGTGAGTGTGTGTGAAAACAAGGTGCATATCCACTCATTATTGTTCAGTATAAAGTGATCAAACTGCATTTAGGATGTGAGATTAATCAATGTTTAACAGTCAATATTAATTGCTTGTTGCTATAATGGACAGGGAGAGGGTGTGAAAGAGGTATACTGTTTATTAGAGTTGAGCATTTGATTCATTTTTGTGTGACTATCATTTATGTAGGACAGAGGTTTAGGAAGGGAGAGAGCTGTCATTAGAACCAATTCCGAATCTTGTTTGTGGCTTGTACTACATCTTTATAACAAGTATCAGGTGCTTATGGATCATGGGCGCTGCTGACAAATTTTGAAGGACAAGAAAAATTTAGAGTAACAATAAAAATTCTGATTTCGCAAGTAGTATCATTCAAACAGTGATTTAGTACATATATTAATGATCATCATACATGTCAATGCTGCCATCAATGCTGTGCACATTACATATATGTAAATGCTTGCCAGCTGATGTTGCACATAATGCTGCATCAATGCTGTGCGCATTAAGTTAATGCTTGCTAGCTGATGTTGTGCATTTGAATGATGCTGCCATCAATGCTGTGCGCATATTAAATGCGTGCCAGCTGATGTTGCGCATCTTTTGTTGATGATTGTAATTATGTGCTTGTTCACATTAACAAAAATATTGTTGGCACATCGGAAATTCTTGATGTGCACAATGTTATTTTATATTAAGCAGGTCATGAAAGTATTTTTAATGAAGATATCGCTAGTAAGCAATATTATGTCTAAAATACATGCCATGTATGATTCAATCAGAAACATTGTAGATGCTACCATTATCATTATTAGTTAGTATGTTACATACATACTTTTTATAGGTACTCATGTACTTGGCACAAGGTCTACAATGTGGTGTTAAAGAGTGAGGTTTGATGTGATTGGTAAGTGCTATTGTTATTATTAGCCGGCGAGTTTACATTGCTTGCTTTTGATGTTTCTATTACTATGCTTTACTGGTAATTACGGCTGGATATTATTTGCTGTTTCAACAATAGTTTTGCTTGATATTGGAATGTGAAATATAATTAAAGGCAATTCTGGAATTAGATTCTTGAAACTAAATTGATTTCTTCCTTAGTGTTTTGTTGCAGCTCCTTGATCAGTAGTTGTATCATGCAGTAGTAAGTGCCAGTTTACATCTGTATAGGTTTCATATTATTGTAGTCGTAGAAATGGAATATGTAGTAAGACTAAGAGTATTGTGAGATGTCTTATGTATTTTTGTTATAGGTTATGATTCTAGGTTACATACTGTAGATTAGCTTGATTATTTTATTATTAATAATGGCCACAGTAAGTACTTTCTTTAGTGAATATAAATGAATGCTTGCCAATGTATCTTTTGTCGTTTTCCATTAACAATACAAAAATAATTGTTTGCACATTGGAATGTCTTCATGTGGTCTATGGGGATGCACCAATATCAATACTAATATCGGTATTGGCCCATTTTTATCAAAATCGGTTGATATCGGATAGCCAAAATAAGTTTCCAATATAGGTACTGTTGATGAGTATAATAATTTTTTAAAAAATACCATAAAATGACATGAAAAAAAAATTTGAGTACATAGAAATTAGAGATGCTACAGTTTTTAAGAAAGAACCTACCAATTTTTGACCATAAATATTAATGACACTATTCAACAATTGTTTTATGGATAACAATGGACTATTTTCATTCTTAAAAACATATTCATAAAAGTATCCATGTTAATGCAATTTCCACAAAATAATTGGCTGGTTAATATCGGTTTTAAAAATCTGTATCGGTGCATCACTAGTGGTCTATTAATGTGTATTTCGACATAGCAGGTCTCGTAAAAGAAACTTAACTCAGGAAGGCATGAGTCAGCAAAATGAACTGTGTAAGTCTAAATTACATGTACAGTGTATGTACATATACATGTATGATTCAATCAGAGCTTAATATCCATTGTGGAGCTAAACATGTCATATATGTATATTAATTGTTGCTAAAAGCATGTATTCTACTGTTAATTTGTTACTACATTTATTAATTCACATTCATAATTTGCACAGGTATATATTTTATCCAATGAATGCAATGTAATGTTAAAGAATGTCAGACTTGGAAAGAGATTTAAAAGGTGAAGGGTTATTCCTCTTTTTGAGCAGATGTATCTTTTTAGTGGTTTGTGATGTATGTTTGTGACAAACATAAGTTATTTTATGCATACATATTTAGTATTGCATATATATCCTGTGTATTTACATTACTTGATGTTGATGATGTTCCTTTTTTACTTTGCTTTTAGGTATTTCAAGCTGCAAATTATTTAATGATTCAGCAATAAGTAATACTTTCATACCATTGTGAATGTAGAAGCCTATTGTCTGATTTCGTTTGTGGTAACTAAATTTATTTCTAATAATAATCACCATTGTAACATGTATCATTGTAGCACTTTCATTAGTTGTGCTTTCACAGATGGGCCAGTTTCCAGCTGCACAGGGTTTATATCGCCATAGTTTTAGCAATTGAATACATAGTAAGATAAAATATTGTGAGATTCCATAGTTTTTTATTATTGTGTTATAGATTATGATCCAAGGCTATAATTCTTCTGATGATTACCTCATTAATCATGGCCACAGTTACAGTAAGTATTTTCTTTACTCAATATAAGTTATGTATATCACATTGTAGGAAGATTGAAGCTCAAGTATTCAAATTGTTTTGCCTTGTTGAACACTGTTAATCTAGAGCATTTCTATTGTACTTTCTACTTTGGCTTTACGCTGAAAGATATTTGACTTTTTATCATGTTATTATTAAGGAAAAAGTTATCTTTTTACATGCAGATCTAATAAATAAAAGTTATAGTTCTTAGTATAGGTGTTCCTCCTGCCCCTGCCTCTTGAAGGCCTGGCTCTTGGAATATTATTGTACTAAAGTAAAATGGAGAGAGAGTTGATTAAAAAGGTACTGCAGATTATTTCTAAATCTTACAAATTGACAATTCACTTGGCGAAGTTGCCAAATGATGTTTTGTCTCTGCTGCTGCAGAGCTGCCATTCCAGGTGGAGCTGCA